CCGGGAGCTATCGAGTCTGCGTGCCCACCGCCTAACGCCCGCAGGAAGCGGCGGCTGGGCCTCAGAGCCGGGTGACATTGAGGCCGGCCCGCGAGGCTCCGGTTTTGGGGGCAGGCGCATCGTGGCCTGTGTGCCGTCAGGACGCATCCGGCTTATCCCATCTGCCCTGCCGCGCCCGCAGGCTGCCTTCGGGCTCTGACCTTGGAGTGCCCGCTGGTCGAGGGCGCGGGCCCGAGGGCAGGCCGCTTTGCAGGCTCCCGATCACCCTTTCAAACGGTGTCTGCGCCACCGTCTAGGATGTAACGGGGCTCCCAGGGGAGGCATCCGCTTCCAGGACTGGAAGAGGCTCGGTATCTGCCCACAACACGGTACAGGCTGAGGGAGAAAAACACGGGAAACGGGGGCGAGTTCAGCCCTGACGTCATGCTTCTGTTTATTCTGCCCCTAATGGGAGTATTTTCCGAATGCATTCGGGGTCCTTTTCATCGTCAACAGTCCCCTGAAAGTCTCGGTTTTGAGGGAGGGGGAGGTAGGGGAGATGGGCCTGACTCAGGAAAGGCCCAGGTGAGAGGTCGGTCATCCCGGTCATCCGTTGCCCTGCAGGGATTGGAAGTGGACCTAGGCCGTGTTTACAGCTTTTCTCCCGTATTTTCTCTTCCTGTCCCATGCACGTATTAGGTGTTTAACCAAATTGTGGGTGCAGTGCATGACGCAGTCCCTTTGAGTCGTTTACGTTTTCCCTCTAAACAGTGGAGGCCATCAAGGCAACACAGTCTTGCTTTTCCAGTCTCCTTTAGAATTTTTTTCTCTTTGCTTTATAAGAAAGCCCGTTTTCTACCAGTTGTCTTAAGCGTATACATATTATGGCGCTTGGTTTATAATGAAGCTCCATTAAAATGTACTGACTGCTGAGAAGAAAACCTCGTCCTGGGTGGTTTTGTGAATTCAGAGCTGGTAACGAAGAACAGATCAATTATGTTGGGGAGAAGAAAAACAAATTGCATTGACTTCCACAATGCACTGGGGCAAAAAGAAGACTCATTCCTAATAGATGTTGACCCACATTCATAGAGAAGGGGTACATTTTTATCTTTCAGAATGTTGGCTACCAGAGTATTCAGCCTAATTGGCAGGCGAGCAATTTCCACCTCGGTGTGTGTACGAGCACACGGTAAGTGTAACTTTTCTTTTTGTTCCTGCTGTGTGGAAGGCCCTGTGCTGGATTTCAAACACAAAGGGCTCAGATGGTTAAGGTCCTGATCATGTTGAGGTACTTCAGGGGAGGCGTAAATGTTTTAACAGGGCGTAGTTCTAGATTGAAGAGTATTTTTGAATCATACTGAGTACTACTCTGGATGTTTGCTTATACTGACATTTTCTTCCTTTTCCTTCTTTCCCATGTTTTCAGGTTCAAGTTAAAGTTCCATCGCTTTTAAGAACTCTCCCCCTCCAAAAAACTCCCAACCACTTACCTTGAATACCATTTACATTATTGATTCAGTGGAAGAGAAGGAGCTTGACTTTCTAGCCTGAACTGGTTTTAATCTCATTTCTGTCTTGGACTAGCTACTTAAGTTTAAGAATCTGTTTTCTCACCTGAAATATCTGCAAAGAGCTTAGTTCAGTCCCTGGTGCATAGCAGGTTTATTTTGCATTTATCAAGCATTTTCTTTGTACCTGACACTTAGGCACTTACAATGAAAAGAATATGAAATATGGAATCTTTCCACAAGAATGTTTGCAATCGGGAGAGGAACAGATACCTGAGGACAGTGTTTCAGTAAGAGATGGACCCTCAGGAGAAATATTTGGCCTTGCCTGGGGTACAGGGGAGGCTTCTGGAGGAGAGGCCTTTATACTGAAGGAGCAGCGGGGTTAACTTCACATTCAAGAGGGGAATGGCATTCCAGGCAGAGGGAAAGTAAGCAAAAGGAGGAAATGGCAATTGGCTTGGCAAGTTGTGTTACCGAGGGGTCAAGTGCAAGGCTGGACTGGTGGGTGATGGAGTCGGGGACCAAGCTTATGTACCCAGGGACTCAATAGCTGTTACCTGAACTGCTTTTTGTGTGAGTTTCCCCTTGAAATTGTGTCCTTTAATTGGTGATGCTGTTGTCTTAGTTTTCTCTATATTCCTTATATTGCTCAGGGTAACACTATGGACACAGACTCTAAAACAAATCATTATAATAAGAGTGTTACTGAAATATGTTATTTAAATGAATAGATAATAAAGAAAAATTAGTTGTTTGCTTAATACATAGAGAAACATTCCTTCACTAAAAGCTTAGGAAGTCACCACAAAGGATAAATTTTGTTTCCATTTTGGCCTTGCTAATGTATTTCCTTAGCTCTTTGTTTGGTTAATTTAGTTTGAAGTATAATTTACGGAAAGTAAAATTTATCTTTTCTAGGTGTAATGTTCTGTGGATTTAGATAGACTCATACAGTTGTACAACAGCGACCCCAGTCACAACATGCAGCATATCCATCACCCCCAAAAGTTTCTTCCTGTCCCTTTGGTCGTTCTGATCTGTAAGAAACCAACTTCTATTTCCTTCAGTGGCTCTGGCCATGACTTACTCTTAGGTATTGATTTTGGCATAGGAAGTAAGAGCTTGCCAGTCCCTTCTTAAAACCCTAGCGTAAGAACAGCAACTGGCCTCTCTGATTCCATCACATTGTCCTCAGAAGGGCAGATAGCAGCCCAGACCAGCCCTCCCTGTTTGCTCACCGTCCCAGCCCTGCTGTTGTTTTGTTCCTCAGATACACCAGGCTCGTCCTCCTGTCTCAGAGCTGCAGAGTTGTGGATGGTTGCTGCTCTGTAATCATGCTCGGCTCTGACCACTGGTTCTAAAGATGCTCCCTCCTTACCTCACTCTGCCTTGTTTTCCTTAGAGCACCAACTGGTGTGCTGTGGGTTTCTGCGTAGCTCGTCCTCTGTCTCTGTCTCTAGAATGCAAGCTTTTGGAGACCAGGACCTTACCCGGTTCATTCACTGCTTTGTCTCCAGCACACAGTAGGCAGGTGGAGAAAACTGCAGTCCACCAGACGAGTCTTGTCCTTTCGTTTTAAACGTCTGATTGTTCAAGTCTTATCTGAGTACGTGAAGCGGTTCACAGGTAAAACAGGAACGCAATATACGGAGTGCTGTTCGTAGCCACTGTCGGCAGCTTGGGTGTTTGTGTGGTGACACGTCTAATGAGGGGGATGCTGTAATTCACCAGGTTTCCTCAGCAGACTCCCGAGTCCATCGAGGTTGAGGATAGAACTGGTAAAACATTCAGCAGAATGCTGTCTTTGCTCTTCTCTTTTTAAAAGGAATAGGTGGTGCATTAACCACTATGTGCCTGTGGTTCTCCCCCCACCAGTTTGCTGGGGGCCAGGCCCAAGGTACTGAAGAGTCCTTGGCAGCCCTGAGATCGCGAATTGGCCACTCTTGTTCTAGAAAATGCAGTTTTGTGCTTAGAGTGCTTTAAGGAGATGAGCATTCATATCTTTATAACAGCTTTATCGAGATGTGATTCGCGTAACACATTGATTCACCCATTTAAAGGGTACACTCCAGTGGTTTTTATGTCTTCACTGAGTTGTGCTGTTATCAGTCAATTTTAAAACATTCTCATCACCCTAATTAACATCTATTTTTAATAACATGCATAAACTTGAGTGCTTTTTAGTCCACTCATCATTTTAATAGAATATTAGAATCTTAAAATTGTAATTCTAGTCATTTTCATCTCAGATCCTTTAGGGATAAGGTTGGGTATGAACGTATAAGTGTGCTAGTCATTTGCATGGCACAGATAAGCATCTAGAGAAATTATACTGCTTTGTTTAAGACTTAATGTTTGATTTCAGTACTGTTAACGTAATTTGGGAGATGTTAATCATTGGGACTAAGCTAATGGAAGTGAAGCATTTTTGTAGGACTTCATGCCTCCAGACCAGTTTGGAACACAGTTCTCTTGCAGGCACAGGGTAGAACCAAACACAACTTAGGAGGGAAAGCCCTAAATAAAATTTAAGACATTCCTTTTGTTGTCTGCACCTTTTCCCTCTTTACTGGAGTAATCCATGGATACGCACTCATTTTAAGGCATGAAAATTTCTATCTTTTTGAGCAGAAGTCCCCATTTCATCCTGTCTTCTTTCTACTGATAATGAAGGGTTTACTTTGCCAGGAGTTTTATGTGTTTAGTTACATATATATGTGAGTATGTGTAAGTAACATCTTTAAAAAGAAAACAGCCCTGATCACGTTCTGTGACTTGGTAGGCACACACACAACTGTCCTTCTATTTTGAGCGCACGGCTCTCCCTCATTCATTTTACTGTTGTAACTTGTTTCCTGACACACGTATACCCTTCATTCCCTTTCTCTGCCCTGCTTTTTCTCTTTTTCCAGAGCCTTCATTTCCCAGCACAGTGTCATTTATTGTTTGATTCTCACTCCTAGCCTGTAGACACCGGCAGGAGCCGTTGCTGTGCTCACTGATGAGCCTAGACTCCGGAACCACACTTGGCATACAGCAGGTGCTCGGTCAGCGTTTGTTGACCAGACGAACGACTGGTTCCGTGATACCCCTTTCTAAGGAGTGCAGTTTCTAAGTCCAGCCTCTAGTGGACATAGCTTATTTGACATTTTGCCGTAGTAAGTAGTGCTGCAGTAACCATCTTGTGCGTCTTTCTTTCTGAAGTTTGAGCCCTTGTATCTTTTACGAGTTTATATTGTGCTAGTTCTTCCTCATTAGTTGGAGTCACTTGCAGAAGGGACTTCATTTGGTCCGGCCTCCAGTCTGGGGTGGGGACCTGAGAGCCGTGTCTGACCTCTGCACGAACACGGTCAGTTACAGCAAGTGCTGCCGCGTTAGCCGTGCCCGGAGGCTTCTGGTTGGCCGTGGGGAGGGTGCTGCGCCGTTAGCCAGCCCCCGGCGGCCCAGCCTGCTCCCTGTTTCACGCTGCAGCCCTGCAGCTGTTTGGAGTGGTGGCCGCAGCCCCTAGGGGACTGAGGATTTCAGGGTGCACATACTTGTACTTCGGGTTTTAGAAGTACCGCCTTGTCTGTAACTCTGAAGCTATGTGAGTTTTCAAGTCTTTATCCAATGTGTTTTTTAGGAAGCGTTGTGAAGAGTGAAGACTATGCTCTCCCGAGTTACGTTGACCGGCGTGACTACCCCTTGCCTGACGTGGCCCACGTCAAGACCCTCTCTGCCAGCCAGAAGGCCTTGAAGGAGAAGGAGAAGGCCTCCTGGAGCAGCCTCTCCATTGATGAGAAAGTTGAACGTGGGTATTGCAGGGAGGCGCAGGCAAAGCCTGGGTCAGGGGAGAATCCTCCTGGGTCTGGGCTGCGAGCTCTGGGCTGCTGCCTGGAGAGCGGTGTGCTGGGGAGCGGGGCGGGGGTCCTGGTTCTGTGGGGCTGTTCTGGGCCTGGTCCCTTTGTCTGTGCTTGTGGGCTCCAGCCCCGGGAGGAGCATGAACGTGGACGCAGAGGTGCTGTGTGTGTAGCGTGTGAGTGCACCTCCTCGGCACTCTGCTGGGTAGGCCTGGGCATACTGTAGGTTACCGGTGGAAGACCAGGGAGCACCGTCAGGTAGGAAAGAGGCATGAAAACACTGTGCTTAAACAGACCCTTCTGCCTCAACTTAGAGAAGAAAGAATGTTTTTCTTTTTTGTACCCAGAGCCAACTCCATGCATTGCCTTCCTTCCCTCACCCCTTGCATGTGCGTGCGTGTGCATGGGTATGTCAGGGCCTTAGGCGTGTATTGTGTTCCTGGCTCCATGTGTGCCCCGTGTCATGGGGAGGGAAGTTGGGGCAAGGAGGGTCTCTGGGCCTGCGAGCGCTGTTCGTCTGTCCCCAGTGTACCGCCTTAAGTTCAAGGAGAGCTTCGCAGAAATGAACAGGAGCACCAACGAGTGGAAGACGGTTGTGGGCACAGCTATGCTTTTCATTGGCTTCACTGGCCTCGTTATCATCTGGGAGAAGCGCTACGGTGAGCGGAGCGGGAGGAGGGGCTGGTGCTCGGAGCCTGGAGTTAGCCAGCATGGCTCCATCTCAGTGCTGGGGTGGCCAGCGGGGTGGCCATCGCACACCTTGGCCACCTCTGTTCTGGGCTCCATCCAGGGGTGGTTTGCCAGGTTTGGGAAACTGGCTGATGTGGACTGAAGTGGTGTTAAGCCAGAATCTTGAGTTACTCAGAGTGGGCCATGCTTGGTAGTGAATGACTTAACTCTGGACCGCACACTGCATTTCCAGTAGTGGTTGATCACTCAGAAGAAGGCGTAGTGAAGGTTCAGTTGTGGCAAAGGGAACTCTTACTCATCTAAGGGATGTTTCAGCTGTTCAGGACTGTAGCTCAGTAACCAGAGTTCTGGGTATTGAGACCTAACAGTTTCTGCACAGCCAGGGTTGGGGTGGCCTGCCAGTTCCAGTGCTGCCTGTCCCAGGTTCTTTGTTTCCAGGTGGAGTAGGTCCAGTCCCCTCTGAGAGGTATAATGTGTCCTCGTGGTCTCCCGTGGACGGGGCTCAGGAGCAGACCCGGGCCTGTCTGACCTCCCCCAAGTACCGTGTGGTCATGTGTGCTCTCCACTGGCCTCTAGACCCGTTGTCTGTATCCTAGAGAGAAGACGTTCTGCTTTTAGCTGAAGTATTTTATTACTAACTTCTACAAACGAAGGAATAATTTGGAAATATCAAGAGCTGTCAGTGCATTTGTGTGGCTGAGGGTGTCGAGTGGCGGGTGACTTCACCACTCGGGTGCCAGGGAGACGGGGAAGACCTAACCCGTGTAGCTTGTTGGCTTAGAAACAACTTGCCTCATGAAGTTGTTTTGGACTGTAGTGTACGGCCCCATCCCGCACACCTTTGACGAGGAGTGGGTAGCCAAGCAGACCCAGAGGATGCTGGACATGAAGGTCAACCCGGTCCAGGGCTTCTCGGCCAAGTGGGACTACGACAAGAACGAGTGGAAGAAGTAAGAACCCGCCACTCGTGCACCTGGCCTCCCCTTGTTCTGTCACCTCCGTGCATCTCGGCCTACTTACTGGAAGCCGTCCTCACAGCATCAGTGCTAATAAACGAGCCATTTACATGAAATCCTTGTGATCCGTTCTTTGATAACTGAGTGAAATGAAAGTGTCATCTAAACACAGTGGGTTTCTCCCAAGTGTCCGTAGTAAATACATTTCGGGTATAAATGAAATGGCAAAAATAAACTGTACAAGGTGATGTTGTATGAAAACTAAAAATACAGAGTCCTGTGGTACGGTAAGTTTTAGGTTTTTGACAAGAGGTTTTTATGGGCATCGAATCCCATTGTAGTAGCCAGACCGACAGATGTCACCGTGGCCACCTTTCTCTTGGGACTGTCTCTCTCCCCTTGGAATTGTCAGTGTTGGTTGGGGTGTGCGGCTCCGAGACTGGGGAAGGCAGGCAGAGTTCTGAGCTCCCCAAGGAGGTCCGGGTGATGGACTCTTCCCCTAGGTCTGCTTTTGGCTGGCCCTGTCCCCTGGGTACTCAGCCTTTTTATCTAGAAGGCAACAAGGAAGCCGGTGCCGGGTCGGGCAGCAGTTGAAGGGTCCCTACCCTGCCCCCGGCAGGCTCCCCGTGGGGCTCGTCCCACTGTCCTGTCCCCTACCCAGCTCGCTCTCCGGTCTCTGCCCCTCACTGGCCGTGGGCCGCAGCATTGGTACAGGAGCGACACCAGGACGGGGGCTGTATGGGAGGAAGTTGGCCCCTAGAGCAGGACCAGTGGAGTGTCACAGGAGGCCATCGGGAGGTTGTGGGAAGACTTGAGCTAATCCACTCAAAATCCAGAGCAGGTTAAATACTGTCTCTGATGGTAGTGTCTTCCTGCGGCCTTAGAAATGCCCTTGATTGTTCTCAGAGGGCCAGCTGACTCCCGTCGGAGGCCCTCTGGTGGGGTCAGGAGATGCTGGGAGCTGCGGGGCAGGAGTCTGGCTGTGAGGCCCAGTGTGCCTCTGTGTGGCTTCGCCTACAAAACTTGGGCCTCCCACTGGGTGATGCCATTTTGGCTCCTTCCCAGGGTGGGTTCCTGGGGACCTGGCTCAAGGCTCTTCCGACCCTTTGATCGTGAGCGGGGCCCTAGTCTGGGCCAGGGGCTCCAGTACCACTGTCATTCCTCAGAGGACCCGTAAGAGGAAGGGGCCCCGCCCAGGATGGATGGTGGGACTGAACTCTGCTGGAGGCAGAGGGCTCTCTGCCTGAGTGGAAGTGAGAGGTGGGGCCTGCAGGTCCCTCTGACCCCTCGACTTGGCTTCCACCCACATGGAGTCTCCCTGAGCCGGGGGCTTCCTGGGGGGGGGGTCAGGCTCTCCCGGCCTCACCGCCGCGCAGGAACCCCCCTCTTGCCCTTGCTAAGAGGGCTGCTGCCACCTGTGTCCGTGTCAGATTCCAAGCTGTGACTGTCGTCCTGTCATCTCTGTTTTTGTGGGTGTATGCCTTCAAAAAAATCCTTCTATTGCCATTTTAGTGGGAATTCAGGAGGGAACAGAGTTAGTGCTGGGCCTAACCCCCTCTATCCTCCATCCTCAAGCTGGAGGCCCGCTGACCATTTATGGGTCATCTGCATGTCATGGGGACATAATGGTGAAAAGGACCCTGGGGACCACAGGAGCGCCGAGGACAAGGAAACAATGGAGAAAATAAGTTTTAAGGGCACTCTGAGGGGCCGATGGAGGGGCGTTTTGGGTGGGGATGGGTGGTCTCACCGAGGAGGCAGCACGTGAGCTGAGCCTTGACTCACACCCAGGCTTGGCAGAGGCAGGGACAGCGGGGTGCAGGCGCGGGTGGTTCACACTCACAGGACTGTGGGAAAGGCCAGGAGGAGGAGAGAGCTTGCTCTGTTCAAGGACCTGAACGATGACCAAGGGGGCTGTGAGGGAGAGGAAGGGTGTGGGGGCAGGTGGAGAGCTCAGATGCCCAAGCACAGGGGCCTCATGGGCCCCGGAAAGAGGGAAGGCTGAGTTCTCTTGAGGGGCACGTTCTCGTAGCGCCTGATGCCCCCCACCCAAGGGTGTTCTGGGAGAACCTCGTCGTTCCTTTTGTAGCGTGAAGTTGGGGACAGGACTTTGAGAAACACCAAGAAGGCTGATGGTGCAGCCCAGAAGGCTCCCTGGCCCCCTAGGAGTGGTCCTTAATGGGGGTCCTCAGAGTGGGGGTCCCTGCCCGGCCCAGGCCCTACATCTCTACCTGGGACCATTGCAGAACCCTGTAGGCTGCTCCTCACCTCGACACGCAGCTGGCCTGTGGGAGGGCCTTCTGAACACTCGGGTGGGCCCTTGGGTGAGAACGGGCTCGAGGGGAGGGAGGGTATCTTACAGGGTGCAGTGTATGCCTTCTTTATGTCAGTTTTTTATTGTGGGAGAATATATGTAACAGGAAGTTTACCATTTTAGCCATTTTTAAGTGTACAACTCTGTGACATTAAGTATGTTCATGGTGTACAGCCAGCATCACTATCCATCTCCAGAACTTTCTCATTGTCCCAAACTGAGAACCCCGTACCTGTTACACAGTAACTGCCCGTCCTTCCTTCCCCAGCCCTGGTAACCACTCTTCCCCTCTCCGTCCCTGTGAATTCGATGACTCTGGGGAGTTGTACTGTGTGTGACCTCATGTGTATGACTTACTCCATGCAACTTGACCTCAGGGTTTGTTCATGCTGTAGCATATGTCAGAATTTCCTCTCTCCTTTTTCAAGGTTGAGTAGTTTTCTGTTGTATGCATATGCCTCATTCTGTTTACCCCTCTGTCCACTGATGGACCTTTGGGCTGTTTCCTTTGGCTACTGAGAATAATGCTGATACGAACATGAGGGTACAGATAACTGTTTGAGTCTCAACTTTGAGTTCTTCTGGGTCTATACCTAGAAGTGGGAGAACTTTCTTTCCTTTCAAACAAAACTGTGCTTTTAATCAGAGACGAATATGTGGTTTTCTCTTTCCCTAAGACTGAAAACTGGGGTCAGAGACCTGGGGTGAGAGGGGGACTGGCTCCTTTCACTTTCAAATCTAATAAACACCACACTGCAGGGTCTCTGTTTCCCACTTCTGAACATGCTCTCTGTTGGTTGGGAGGTCTGATGCCCTAGGGAAGCAGTGATTCCACCAGGAGACACAACAGTGGCTCCAGGGGACTGGAGATCGAGTCCCCCGAGATGGGGGAGGGCTCCTCATGCCGCAGACCAGCAGAGGTAGGGCTCCTCGTCCTGTGGGATGAGTGGTCCTGACTTTAAACGGGAGACGGCTTTGTGTTTCACAGCTGGCTCGAGGAAGGCTGTGTCTGGAACCCTGGGGATGCTCTTGGGGGCCTCTTAGAACTTCCAAGTCCAACAGTAAAAGTTAACAAAAACAATAGGACCACCAAGGGTTCAGATCCTATGTGAATGAAGGTCGCTCCAAGAGGTGAAGAACTTCAGCCCACTGAGGCCTGGGGAGGGGAAAGGAAATACGGAGTGGGTGGTGGGCGAAGGAGGTGACAAATGCCGGCCGGGGCTCCACGACCGCCCCGGGAGTGAGGGCTGTAGCAGCGATGCCGTTTTTTCCCTGCTTGTCGTGTGTGGCCGTGTGCGTGCTAACTTTCTCTTTCCTGCCTTCCTGTCCCTTACTGTTTTATACAATTTGTTGGAGGTTGATTTGCCGTTTTAGCCCCTAGGTGACTGAGTATTCAGACGGCACGGTGACTGAATTTGAGGAGCAAGTCACATGGCTCAGGGATACCCCTCCACACGGAATTTTGGGACTTACTGAGTCCTCATTTTGGGGTGAGGGTCAGAGTGTCTTCCTTTGTATGAAGGATGTCTGCGTCTCGTCTGGTCAGGTCGTAGAGTAGTTTTGATGCTGTCTGGAGGTGCCTAACTGTGCGTGGTTGCAGAGCAGCCTCCGAGATGCACTGTGCCAGGTGAGTTACTGGCTCTCAGCCTCAAAGCCCCCTTCTGTACTGGCTGATGGATGCTGGGGCCGGGGTGCTGCATGCCCCGCCTGGGCTCGGCCAGCTGCAGTAGCCTTTGCTCTCGGGGCCCTCAGGGAGCCGGAGGGCTGGAGGAGAAAGGAGCCCTTCCCATCTGCCGCTGCTTCCTTTCTGCCTGCTGCCTGCCTCCTCTCACTTCCTGGGAGCGTCCCTCCAGCACGCCCCTTCACGCCAGCAGCGGCAGCTCCTTCCACAGCAGCCGCGGAGCCTGGCTTTCAGTAGCTCCCGCTCCTGCAGGACCGGCCTAAGCGTGTTTCTTTGAGAAGCCCTGGCACAGGTGCAGAGCTGCGTGCAGCAAAGTCCTGGCGTGTGGGGGAGTTCCTGGGGGACCTCACAGGCCGTCAGGTGGGGCTGGAAGCCTGAGGTACCCCCGGGCCCCACGGATGTCACAGAGCACTCTCTGGAAGGGACTGTCACCATGGGAGACATGGTTAATTATTATTTTGAAAAGAACAGTTGAATAAGTTGAACACTGAACACTGATTTTTAATTTACTCTCGAGATTGGTGTCTAAGGGGAAAAGCTGTTACTTAGGAGGAGGTCCGCACGTGCGCTCTTCTCCTTCCCTGTGTGACATGCAGCTGAGTGAGTTCCAGGCCCTGCGTAGCGCCTCATGCGCCTCGCACTTAGCGGTCTCCCACCTGGCAGTCTGTGCCTCTGACCCCCTTCCTCCAGCCCCCTCACCCAGCTCTGGTAACCCCCTGCCTCTGGTAACCACAAGTCGCACCTCTTTTTTATGAGTTTGTTTTTTTGTTTGTTTGTTTTTGTTTTGTTTTTCAAGTCCACATATAATTGAGATCATACAGCGTTTGTCTTCTCTGTCTTATTTTGCTTGCATAATGCTTTCAGGTCCAATCATATTGCAAATGGTGGGATTTCTTCATTTTCTATGGCTGAGTAGTATGTATACCACCCACTTCTTTATACGTTCATCTATCGATGGACACTTAGGTTATTTCCATTTGTAAACAATGCTGCTATGAACATGGGGGTGCATGTATCTTTTTGAGGTAGAGATTTCGTTTCTTTTGGATATCTTTCCAGAAGCAGAATTGCTGGGTCACATGGGAGTTCTATTTCTAATTTTTCGAGAATCCTCCATACTG